AGGCCTATGAAGCGGTATATAAGTCTACTGCTATTGCTATTGCTATTGCTATTCCCTGTTCGAATGTACCATTTTGCATTCAAAGGTTACAGCCTTATGTAGAAAGATCAGATTTCGGGACGTTATGGTTACAGAGAGCAAAAAGGCTGTGTAAATTGCCCCAGCTGCCCCTTCACATCTTACCCATCATATGCATCAATCCGGACGCAGCGACTTCCATTCCAAGTCCAAGCACAGTAAGGATCCTTGGCGAGAATACAGTCAGAACAGGTCCTGTACTTGCTGCAATTGGCCACGGGGACTTGGATGACTTTTGTGTCGGAGCCAATAAAGAGGACTCTCTGAGAATGAAAAATAAGAGTTACAGGTTGTTCTTGCTTAACGACCAATCACTTAATGATTGCTCAAAGTTATGATGGATCCCTTAAAAGATACTTGGAACTGGAGTCAACAATCGGATAGCTGCCTCCATCATCGTAATCACCTGTTCCAACTTTGTCAATATGGAAAGAAAGACTCCTGGGCCATAATTAGCCAAAAGTGCCATATATTTTACTAAAGCCAAAGTGGTTGCAGAAGAGGCAAAGCCAGATCTGAGATTTTCGTGTGCAAAAGGTACGCTTAACTTTCTCTTGCTCCTGGCAAACCGGTTATCTGTCAATGCACTCAGCAGCCGGCTCAACATCCCACGGTCATATGACCATGATTTATGGCAGCTGCCCCCCCCCCCCAAAAGAGACGTTTACTTCTGGTTTCTGGGGGGAAAACAGCCATTGCGGGAAATAGGGTCACGTAACCGCTATAACATTTGCTTGACAACTGGCACAAAAAGATGTCATAAAACTAGGTCAGTCATATGATGACCTGCTATACCTCCAGCATGATTTGTGAAAGTAATTCTAGGCTCAAGTGTGGTTGTTAAGTCAAGGACTACCTATAGCAGAGTTAGACTCTTCCCATCTAGATCCATTCTAATACTTAAGGTAAAGGTTCCCCTTGCACATATGTGCTAGTTGTTTTCTGGCTCTAGGGGGTGGTGCTCATCTCTGTTTCAAAGCCGAAGAGCCAGCACTGTCTGAAGACATCTCCGTGGTCATGTGGCCGGCATGACTAAACACCGAAGGCGCATGGAATGCTGTTACCTTCCCACCAAAGGTGGCTCCTATTTTTCTACTTGCATTTTTAGGTGCTTTCGAACTGCTAGGTTGGGCAGAAGCTGGGACAAGTAACGGGAGCTCACTCCGTTACGCGGCGCTAGGGATTCGAACCGCTGAATTGCTGATCAACGAGCTCAGCATCTTAGCCACTGAGCCACCGCGTCCCTTCTAATACTTAGGAGGCCTGAAAAAAAATCACCCTCTACTTTCTGAAAGCTGGGTGGGAGTCCTATGAGCAAGACAGACTGTGACAAATGCCTTCAGCCAAACACAGCACCCTGTTTCAATTTGTCCATACAACTAAGTTTCTAGCCCTGATGATTACAGGAGGCAAGCAACTTCTGAGGAAATCTCACATCAGAAAGGGTCAGTGGCGTCTATAATAATGACTCACAGGCACACATTATGCTGGATCAGAGCTAAGCCCGGCTAGGCGGTGTAGGGTTCAATATTATTAGTTTTCTTGTGGGAACCAAGGTCATTCCAACAAGTGGACAAGAAGAGGAGGAGTAAAGTAAACAGGCAACCTGCTAACACCACTATTGGACAATATGACCAATGACGGGAAGGGGGAACATTTACTTTTTAATTAGATGAAACCCACAGGAACTTTCAGAGTCAGTTTTTACACCACTTGTGCCCAATATGATGCATTCAATAAAATTGTTCTTTGAGGAATCTACCGTTCTCCTTTCAATGGGCGCCTTACTTGGAACGCTGACACCCAGAGAGTGCCTTAGCCTGTTGGGTGACCCAAAGCATCACATTAAACCAGTTGATTCACTTGGGTGCAGCCACATGAGGGGGACCCAGCCATTCTGCTAAGCCACCTTTGCCTCGGGCGCAGCATATTCCGCGAATTTGGGTTCTCTGCTATGCCGCGCCTTTGCAGTTCCTGACAAGTAACTTTCACCTCTTCCTCAGTGGCTTTAGTTCCGACAGATCCTTATCACCGGCAGGCGCCTTTGCAAAGCAATTATCCGATATAAGATAGTGGTTTTAAGCTGCCGCGTTTATTGTGGGTTGGGTTGGTGAGGTTTAGGAGGACAGCCCTGGAGAGGAAGCATCAGCACTATCTGAAATTTCAACTTGATCCTAGGTATCAATTTCCCCTAGGAGTGTCTGCAGAGACCCACCATAACACCTCAGGGATGTGTCTGAAGGCACCATCACACAAACACAGCCACTTGTCAGCCTCTGCTTCCCTTACTTGCTATCGGCTGCCATAGAAACTGGGGAGGGTGGGGGCATGGTATTTGGGATGGGAATAAATGGTACAGGAGGTGATATGGAAAAGGGAGTTTTCTTCCGGGTGTTTGGTCCTGGTCTAGGCCAACCGTCCTGCATACCAACATGATGGTGCCTTTTGGAGATGCACCCCACATGACACCTAAGAGAGTTGCAGATTGGACACTGGGGTGGAGGCGTTGGAGGGATGGGGCTAGGTTATCATTTGATATGTACTTGTTCACGCCTTTCTGGCTCAAATCTTGCTTTACTTTTGCTGCTATCTTTTCATAATCAGCAAAAGTATTTTAATTCAACGAACAATGGAATTAGGAGTTTTCTTTCTTGGTTACTGAGGGAGGCATGCCTGACACCACTGTATTTCTACTTTCCGAAGGCTGATGCAACAAAACTCAGGGTATAATATGCACCATGCACAGGTCAGCCCACCAGCTGAGCCCCACTGCAGATCCTCCTGTTTTCCCCCATGGCACTAGGAGAGTGATGGCGAACCTTTTAGACACTGAGTGCCCAAACTCACGCGTGCGCATGCCCAAACTAAAAGATGCGCACGTGCAAATGTGCACCTGTGCAGACATGCATGTGCATGCATGGACATATGCATGCACGGGCATGCATACATGTGCAGCAGAAACCCAAAGACCAGCTGGCTGGCGGGAGGCAGGGCATCCCAACATTGGCAGCAAGAGGTAAGATCTTTTTCTCTTGTGAGCTTCTGTTTCTTCATTTGCGGGGAAACAGAAGGTCATGAAAAAAAACCCACGGAGATCTGGGCTGGGGCGCGTGTGCCAACAGAGAGTGCTCTGCGTGCCACCTCTGGCATGCATGCCATAGGTTAGCCATCACCGCACTAGGATCTCCAATTCTTTGCAAACAGGGTGGGCCAAAGACTAAGAATTCTGGAAGCTCTAGAATTCAATGTCTCTGCACCTTCCTTACCTTCGGTACTGATAGGACCAGGCTCTTGATGGGTTGGGCTTCCTCAAACACTTGCAGTTCTTCTATGAGATGGACACCTGAAGGCAAGGCCACCGCTTTGTGCAGCCAACCATTCTCTGCACACACAAAAAGACCAGGAGACAATTCAGTGACTGAATTAACAGAGGAATGCAACCAAGATCAAGGGACATCCTGATACCACTCTATAATAAAGCCTGAGTAAGACCACACCTAGAATTCTGCATCCAGTTTTGGTCACCACACTATAAAAAAAGATGCGGAGACTCTAGAAAGAGTGCAGAGAAGAGCAACCAGGATGATGAGGGGACTGGAGACTAAAACATACAAAGAATGGTTGCAGGAACTGGGCATGGCTAGTCTAGTGAAGAGAAGGACCAGGGGAGACATGATAGCAGTCTTCCAACATTTGAGGGGCTGCCACAGAGAGGAGGTGTCAAGCTATTTTCTAAAGCACCTGAAGGCCAGACAAGGAATAATGGATGGAAACTGACCAAGGAGAGATTCAACCTAGAAATAAGGAGAAATTCTCTTGACAGTGAGAACAATGAACCCATGGAAGAGAAGTTGCCTTTGGAAGTTGTGGGAGCTTCATCACTGGAGGCTTTCAGGAAGAGACTGGACTTCCGCCTGTCAGAAATGGTGTAGCAGGGTCTCCTGCTTGGGTGGAGGGTTGGACTAGATGACCTACAAGCTCCCTTCCAATTCTGTTAAATTTCCAAACAGAGTCA